TTCGATGAGCTTATGCACATCCTGATCCAAACACAGGTGCTGGGGCTCACTCCGGAAGGTCGTCTGGGGCAGCCTCTACTACCAGACGATCAAAACCACGACCTGGAGCCTGGCAAAAGCTGGCTCATCAAGCCTTTCCCGCCGGAAGGCAAAGGGCTAAGACGGCTAAGAGGATGGGCAACCAAGCAGGCGTAAGGCCACTGGTGGTACCAGTAGGCACACTGGTGAACCCTTGAAAACCAGATCCTGGTGAAAACCAGTACTGGTGATAGGGGCCAAAGTGCCTGCCCTGGGCTCTCCAGGTCCACACTACCAGTAGACTGGTGAAAACCAGCAAACTGGTGCCTGTAGCAACCAGCCCGGCTGGTGAGTAGCTGGTGCTACGGGCAAAGTCCTACCAGCCACCAGCGCGGAGGTGACGCTGGTGAGAAAAGGAGCAAGCGCTCCCTGGACCGCTGAAACAGCGGTCTTAGCTGAGTTTCACCCAAGCCGAAGGCAGCGACTCGTTTCGCAAAGAAGGAAGAAACAGGTATCCCTGCTTGAGGGATAAAGGTGGGCGTCCGGCTCAACTCTTTCAAGTTTGCGGAAACCAAGACAGGTTACAGCTAGTTTCCTTCCACTTGGAGTGTGAGGGGGCACTTTTCGCTTTAGGGTTGTAGTCTCTGTAGGTTCCTTTGCTTTCGGACATTTTTAGAGGAGTCTGGAAGTACCTGAGGGCCTTTTTGCCTTGGGGAAGTGTTTAGAGCTCCAAACCACCTGTCGGTAGTTTGCGCCTTTAGTTTGCTGCAAGACTTTGTGCCTAGGTTGGCTCAAGACCGGAACTGCGTCGCCGAATGAGGTAAAACGAAAACTCTGTCCGAGTGGTGTGCTTGGTTGAGTGCGTTGCTGGGACTTGGTTGTAGTTCCGTCTTTTTCGTATCATGAGCTCATGCTTTGACGTGACGCGTGTTCCGAAGTTTGCCTCTCTGGGCAAGCTCCAGAAACGTTTTCCCACCGTCCCTCCCTCCCTTGTTTCCTGCTCAACTCGTCAGCCGCTGAGACGAAGTCTTGGCCACAGCCGTTTGATGCCGTCGGCTCATGTACATTTTCCCCTCTTGCGTCAGCTGTCAGCTGTGCGATGTCGAATAGAAGAGTGCTATGATGATGTTGGTCAGTTACATGTGAGTTATGCAACATGTCGGGACATCTTAAGACTTATGAGTGCGGTTGGTGTTGCTGAACTAAGAGTGTCATAATCTTCGCAAACCGCGAAGCACGCTGATGTGCGTGAGTCCGCATGAATGACTTGATCGTTTGCTGTACAAAGTTCGTAGAGCTACTGTACCGTCGTAGCCGCAGCCAATGTACTGAACAAACCCAATCCGTGCGTACGTGCGTAACTACCGCTTTCAGGCGTGACTACCGCCAAACACCACGATGCAGACTGTTGAACTTGTCTTTGATTTGTGCAAAAACATGGCTCAAGAAATGAGGGTCGTGCGTGTGCATTTTTCTTCATTGTGAGCGTCGCAAGGCAAAGGATGCCGTGCTGCAAGCCAAAGGATGCCATCAGGCCATCCTTTAGGTGTTTTGTTCATGCAAGAATGAACCGGAAGATGACGAAGTTGCGAGGTAGCGGGTGCAACATTTCAAGACGGATTGTTTCAATCTCCAGAATCACCTTGCTTAGCAAAGGTTCAGGCATAGCGCATGCTGTGTCGCTTTTTGTTCAGCTTGCCGCAGCCGGTATCACCCTGGCGTAATCCACAGTGTTGAAGCATCTCGCGAAGCTTTGCGGCGTGTCGCCAAACCCCAAGTAAAGATCTAAAGGCCCCCCAAAAAAGGCCCCATAAGCCCCAAAGCCTGGCACCTTGAGCGAAGCTCTAGTGACTTTAGGAGGGACCCCTTCTGGGGACCCTTAATCCCATTACTTTAAATGACCATTGCATAATCCTTGTATCCCCTTAGAGAGCCAGGTAGTCTGCATATTAACCCCAATAACCCGAAAGGGTCCCTATTAAGGGTCCCTTCTAAAGCCTTTGGAGAAGCGTTGGAACCTGCGGCCCATGGCAGCTGGTGCCTCGACTTCGGGGGCCGAAGCCTCGAAGCCCTTCGAAGAGTTTTCAGAAGCATCTTCCATGACGGTCTCATAGGGTTTTGATGAGATTTTTCAAGGTTTTGTAGAGTCACTTAGAAGAGCTTGTTATGAGGATTTTGTGAGGTCTTCATCGGGTTGTATCAGGTTATAGATTTTATTCGGAGGATTTTCCCAGACGTTTATAAGGTTTGCTTGAAGCTAGGCTGGGCTTCGGGCATGGGGTTTCAAGAGTTTGCGTCTTGGGGTTAAGCTTTTCGGAATTTAGATTTCTCGCGTCCGTAGGTAACCCGCTCTCCACACAACCCTGAACCTCAAGCCTGGACCACAAACCGCCGACTTTTCCAGATTGTCCTGGCTCAGGCGAATGCCTTCCTGTCCCTGTCCGAGAGCACTTCCCACAAGGCACCTCCCGTGAATCGCAGATTCTAAAGCTATGGACGTTTTTGCAAAGGTCAGTCTCCGGTGGCTTCAATATCGCTACAGTTTAGGGAGTCCGAAATCTAAGCCAAAGACACGTTACCGGACAGGGAAACTCCACACATTGTAGATGGACAGCGCCAGCATGAGATTTCGGTTGCAAAGTCGAGAACCACCATGTGGCAGAGGCTCGTCAAGTAGTAGCTACCTACTAGAGAGCCATGTCTGGCATCAGCCGCGAAGCGCTGGAGGAACGGCTTCGGCTGCTCATCCGTGAGCATCCACGCGACACTGGGCCACAGCTGCTGTGGCACCTGGAGCGCCAGGGCTTTCGACTGGATCCGTCCCAGGATGCCGCCCATGTTCGCAGTCTTGCGCGGAAGATAAAGGGCCCTTTGCCGGATCCCGCTGCTGGGCTCAATGGTGCCTTCGACCACCTTGTCAAGATGAAGGCTGCGACCACAGGGCGGCCGGATTTGGTGTCGATGACGATGTCAATGGGCGGGGGCCCAAAATGGCCAAGTGGCAGCATGCGCGGGCGCAAGCAAAAATCTACAGATGGGATCGCTGACTGGCCAGATTACTTCCTAGATGAGTTCGCAGATGTTCACGGGAAGAATCTCGAGTGGTTTGCAGAAGAGAAGAAGAAGGCAGTGCCGAGTTCAAAGGGGAAGTCACAGAGAGAGCGCAATGAGCGCCGCAAGGCAAAGCAACGTGCAAGTGCTTCGACTGAAGTGGGAGGCCAGGCGTCCGCTGAGCCTGCAGCACCGGAACCCACGCACAATGATGAGCTTTACATTTGGCTGATCGATGCCTATCGGATGCGCTGTCATGATGATTTACAGTGGCGAGGCGGCATCCGCCGCGGCATCTACGAGCAGATGACCCGAGTCGAGAACCGTTTGCACCCGTTGGACGAAACGGGAGTGGTTTCGAAGAAGACACTGTCCGATTTGGAGCATCTTGATGTGAATGGCGTCCAGTTTGTTGTTGAGCGAGAGGCGGATGCTGCGACCGCCTTCCCTACACCCTTGTCAGTTGCACAAGACTTTTTCCTTTACTGCAAGCTTGTCGAGCAACGAGAGAAATATCCGCCGGAGTTTGACTTTGAAAGGTTTCGCTGGCCAGGAAGCTGCTCCCAAAGCGATTCCAAAAGACGCCAAGTTCAAGTACGGCGATGAGAATGGACTGCAGACAGGCCTTCTTTGAGGCGCTTCGCAGAAAGCATCTACGGCACCACCATCCAGATGCACGACAAGGACGCGGCATCACTCGGAGGGGCTGACACAGGCCGCTGGTTTCACCCTCGACCCCACGAGTACAACGCGGCTCACCGATACCCGCCGGACGTCTGCCGCCTCTGGGAATCTGTCGAACATTTCTTCGAGGCCGGCGTCGCAGGACCCGCGGAGAGGCAGTTGAGCTCGCCTGCTCGCTGCGCCTTCCTTGACAGCGTGGAGCTGCTCTTCGCGGATGTCGGCGGCATCCAACTTTGGCGTGAGCTGGTCGAGTCACTGGACCTGGTCGGAGACAACTTTGGGCTTCCACACGTCTCGCACTTGGACCAGCACGTTCCTCCGGGCTCGACGGTGGTAGTGAAATCTCTACGTGGCGTGCAGCCGATTCCTCCAAACTATCGTCGCCCAGTGGACCTGAACGGTGCCTTAGGCACGCTGCGGAAAGTGGTGCCTGGGAGCAATGGCGGCGAGATCCGCTTCCAAGTCGTGATCGGCGATGGCACGGAAGTGGCTCTCAAGTCCCAGAAGCTGGAGTTGAACATCGAGAAGAAAGGCGAGATGAGCGCTTATGCGAAAATGATGCTAAATACGGCAGGCCGCGGCGAGCTGGCAGCAGACATTGGTGGCTACTCCTCACTGTCCGAGTCAGAGGAGGAAAGGACCGCGCGTCCGAGCGCAAGATCGGCAACCTTTCGTCGCCAGCGCGGTCTCGAAAACATCGGTGAGGCCCGGCGGCTGGAGGAGGGCGGGCGCCACGCAGCGAGGAATCGCATGTATAATTTTGCTGATGCAGAAGATCCCGATGGCGAGCTGCTCGGGAGCATGGTCACCCTGCGAGGTCTGGTGAACAACGCGGACTTGAACGGGTGCAGTGGGAGGGTGCTAGCAAAGAAGGGGGAAGGGGAGGGTGACGAGACGCGCTTCGTGGTTCAGCTCGACGGGGAGCCCAGGGAGCAGAAGGTGGTAAAGCGCCGCCACCTGCAGTTCGTGGACGCGCGCGAGGCGTGGGCGCGCGAGCATGCGGCTTCTGCCAAAGCTCGGGGAAAGGGTACGCGGCCCGATGGTCGGAGTGATGCACCTGACGGAGTGGAGCCAAAGCCGGGCATCGGCAAAGAGACGAGCGAAGCGAAGCCAAAGTCCAAGGCGAAGGCCCAGGTCAAGGCAGCGGCCAAGGCTCATTCGGAGCCAGATTGGCAGAAGGTCTTTCCCGCAGAGGACTCCATTCGACTGCGCGATTTGCTGCAGCAGGAGGTCAGCATGGCATCTGGCAGTCGTATTTCAGCCAGGAAGGCAGAAGAGCTGTTGCGTGAGAGGCATTCAGCGCTGCTGGACGTGGCCAAGCGGTATGTCGATTCTGTGTTCAGAAGCCGTAGTAAAAAGCAGGCGAAGCTGGATCGGCAGCAGGGCCTGACAGGCCGCACGCATTGGCTGGGCCGCTTGACAGTGCTTGAAAAGCTGGAAAGCGACTTCCACTTCGACTTCCAAGTCAATGCATTCTGCCGCGGGCCCGGCGACGGTGGCGAAGCCGAGGGCGACGACGAGGGCGACGATGTGGGCGAGGGCGATGAGAGCGACGATGAGGCCGGAGAGCTGGGCGGCGGAGCCGAGGAGGAGGCAGAGATGCCGAGTCCCGAGCCTTTCACTCTTCCCAAACCTCCCCCTGTCCCTGTCCCTGAACAGACGGAGCCAGAAGATGCTACTCCCGGAGAACTCCCGGAGCAGTCTGAGCCCGAGGGGTTTGATGCACCGCGCACGGTGCACCGCTTCTACGGGTTTGAGGCTGGAAGTGTTTTCTTCATTCCCCCCTGTGAGCTCTACTTCACCCAAGACTCCATCAAGTCTGGCTTTAAAGACAACGGTAGTTTGGGCCCGGGCCACAGCTCCGGCTACAGCTCCAGTGACTCGGGACCGACGGCCGGGGACTCTGTGAAGACAAGCTCGGTGCGCGAAATGTTTGATGCCATCCTGGAGCGACGAATGCTGAAGCGGGAGGTTGAAATGATGGACGTCGTCTTCCACGAAGGCTACTACTACAGCATCTGCAACCGGCGACTGGCCGTCTACTTGTTGCTATGGCTTTGCGGCCGCTGCCCGCGCTTGAAGGTACAGCTGGTGAGCAAAACAGACCGGAAAGTGCACTGGGATCGCCGTTTCACCACTGACTGCGATGGAGATTGGATTCTCGTTCGCCAGACGGGGGAGGCGATCGGCCGTCGATTTCAGGACACCACCTTCAAGCATCCGGAATTAACCAGGGCATTAAGCAGAGCTGGAGGGGAGGCCAGGAAGTGAAGTGCGTCTGCACTAGCTTTGATTCGCTTTCAAGACAGCCAGCAGCTTACAGCCACGGACTTGATTTGAAAAGCGCTTCCTGCATTGTTGTTGTAGGTGGGACCAGGGTCGACAAAGCTTGTTGTGTCTTTGCCGCCGGAATGTGCGAGGCCACAAACGAAGCCGACGTTTTTGAGAGCTGATGTTGTGAAATCATAGGTTCGTCCCTCCGAGATGGCGTTGATGTGGTTCGCAGTTGGGCGTGTACCGCCTTCGCAGTGTGTGATAATGTCCCACCTGGTCGACTTTAGAGCTCCTTGCAGGACTGCTTCAGGCTACCCACCAGGAGGCCACACTCAGGGAGATGTGGAGGTGATCCCGGTTCTTTCTGGTGGGTTCCGGCTTGCTGTAGCACCGTAGAGCTTGTCAAAGGGATGCTTCAAATACAGGACTTGAGGGGGCTGGCTTGCTCTCCTGCTTGCTCATCATCGGACTAGGCGACACTGCTAACTTGTGGTGGGCCTGTTCGAGAACACTTCGTTTGGATGTCGAGTGGGCTAAGGGGATCTGAAGTTGCACGGGGTGTGCCCCCCGTGGTGGGGCGTCTGACCCGCTGATTCAGGCTTTCCCGCTTCTCTGATGCAGCGCTTCTGTGGCTGTGCGAGAGGCCCTTTTCCAGACTAGCGTAGCTCAGCATCCTTGTTGCTGGAGCCCCGATGCCCCGAGTCCGCTTTTGAGTTGACGTGTGGGCTTTAGCTGCCGGCTTAGGCTAAGCACGGAAAGGTTTAGGTTGTTGCCATTGCGCTTGGAATGATGAAAGAGGACCAAGGGGCAAGGGTTCGGAGGTTGACGAATCCCGAAGCATCGTGGTGCTGGCCAGAGCGGAAGGCTGCCTCACACCTCACATGTAAAGAGCGCTGCTTGCTCTTCGGTCGAAGACAATCGGAGAGTCCTGGAAGCAGCTGGTTTTGTTCAGCAGGGCCGACGTCCCCAGGCTCGTTGGCACGACGGACTTGCGGCCTTCGAAGGTGTCGCATTCGTATTGCATCCGGAATACTCTGAAAGTTGGATTTCTTATGAGGCCGCATCTCGTCTTGTTGTGGCAACATGTATGACTGCAATCGTTTCATCCTGAGCCGTGCCAGGAAAAGTATGTCAAGGGTTGTCTGGCTTGAAGAAGTCTGGATCTTGCACCCGCTCGACGCGTGAATCCCCCTGCTTGCAGCCATCTCGAAGCTCTCGAGGAAGTTTGCTGGTTGGTGCCATTGTTATTTGGAAGGCATCTCGGCTGATCACCGATAGGGATCGTCGGTGAGCCCAGCATGCTGCAGTCTGTGAATCAGCTGTACTTAACCAAGGTCATGCAATGGGCAGCCCTGAAGATCCTGGTGCTCTACCAGTGCTCTTTGGCGACAGCCACCGTGAACTATGATGTCGTTGGCTGTGGTTTTGAAGCCGACACTTGCGGATGGGTAGACAAGAATCAGGCCCGGTACCGAGTGGCACGACAGTTGGTACATCGGTAGGCTGCAGAGTCAGTGCTGGTCGAAGCAATAAGCTGCTTCATATTGTGTTTCGAGTTTCAGATGCCCATTTCGATTCGCGCTTCAGTACATCTTCCGAAGGCTTGGAAGCGAACCGCTGGTGCACAAAATGGCACGGGGCCATCAGATGCTTTCGATGGCAGCTACTTTCTACACCTGGATGTTGGCGGCCTCAGCGACGGGGCTGGGGGGTTGTCTTGAGGTTTGAGGTGCAGAAGGTGTAGGTGAGTGACTGTGTTTGTGTGTGCATCGTCCACCGAATCCGAAATGCGGAACCCCAAAGCCCCAGGCCATAAACCTTGGAACGAGGTGTGCCTGAGACGAATGATGCTTGCTCTTCGGAGAAGCAGCTGGCGCCCCTTGATGCAGCACGGCCGATGTCTTGGGCCTTGTGGCGCGAAGGATTGGCGGCCTTCGAAGAAGGTGTGCAGTGGAGTCACCACCTCAATTACTGCATCTGGAATAAATTGAAAGTTGAGTTTTGAAGCTTTTGTAGCGAGACTGCATGTCTCTTTGGCCTCGCTACACTGACGCAATCTTTTCAGCTCGAATGGTGCAGGGAAAAACATGTCACGGGCAGTCTATTGTGAAGAAGCTTCGTGCTTGCACCAGCTCGACTCGTGATTCGTTGCTCGCACTTGCTTGCTGCAGCCATCTCGAAGAACTAGACTCACTAGACGAAGTTTGCGACTGGTGGCCTTGCTGTTTAGAAGGCAACTCAGCTGATCACCGCCAGAAGTGGTCGTCTGTGCATGAGCTGTAACCGAGGCCATGCATTGGGCAGCCCTGAACATCCTGATGCTCTCCCAGTGCTCCTTGGCGACCACGACCACACAGACTCAGACCCTGACGACCTCAAGTGTGACTGCCACGGTTTCCACGACATCGTCCGTGACGATCTCCGTGACGTCCACAACCACGACCACTACGACTTTGACTCTTCCGAAGTACGATGTCGTGAGCTGTGATTTTGAAGCCGACACTTGCGCATGGGTCGACAGGGATCAGGCCGGGTCGGGGAGTGGCAAATCACTTGCTGAGACACTGAGACATCTCTTGGCAACTCTCGTGAATCTGCCGAGCTATTGCTTGCTGGTTGAAGCAGGTGTTTCAGGGCCGAAATACTTTCAGTGCACTTGCGGGAGGCTTGGAAGCGAACCGCTGGTGCACAAAATGGCACGGGGCCATCGGATGCTTTCGATGGCAGCTACTTTCTGCACCTGGATGTTGGCGGCCTCAGCTATGCGGCTTAGGGGTTGTCTCGAGTCTTGAGGTGTGAAAGTAGCAGTGTCTGTGTATATATATATATACAAATTATATACACATACATATTTGTGTCTGGAGTGTGAGTGTGTGCGCTTTGTACATAGCTGTGCAGGCTCGCGATCTGAGTTGGTAAGCCGAACTGGCAAGCCCGAAGCGCGAGACTCTCGATTCGGGTGAGGTGCGCCTGAGATTCGGGACCACGATTGCCTTGCAAGGCCTAGCTCACAGCGGCTTGGTCTAGAGAGGTCCTCGAAAGAATGTGAGAGAGACTAGCTATCCTTTGCGTCTTTCAATTCCCTTGTAAGGTCGCTTCCTGCGCATGAACACGTCGATAATCGACGCCTCGAGCCCCGCGGACGAGATCGGCTTGGAGCCTGAGCGTTGATTTTACGTACAATTTCCTCCTTCAAAGCCGTAGCATTATCTGATTAACGCACCGTGAGCCGCGGCAGTAGCAGCACCCGGAGGACTGGACTTGGGAACGCTTTACCGTCGTTGACGCTGGCAAGGGGGAGATCGCGCTGCACAACACCTTCCACAACGGCTTCGTGCGCATGAGCAACGCGGGGATGGACACAAGCGGCTTCAGGGTCTCTATGCTTCAAATTTCGCACTGTAAACCTAAAGCTGAAGACTCATCACATTGAACCTGTGGACTTACATCGGGCTAGTAGGAACCGTTGTGGTTCCGATGAAAAGGTTGGCAGGCACCCTTGTGGTTCTGATGTATAGGTTGGCAGGCTTGACGACTCATATACAGCCGCCAGAAAACCCGCAGAACATCTTGCTTCCAACGCCTTTCAAAACACCTCAAGATCAGAACCTCTGCATCACTTATCGAAACTTTTAGCGCCCTGAACCCGAAACCTCGAATTAGACGCTCGTCGAGACTTCGAGGCTTCAGACGAGCTTCCCGCAGACTCGACCTGGGAGCGGTTCACTGTGGTCGATGTCGGGGATGGCTCCATCGCTTTGCACAGCGGTGTCCACAACCGCGGCTTGGCAGCTCTATCTTCTGAAACTTCTTTGTATCGTTTTCGACACCGCCAGAAGCACTGATCTCTTCAAGGTTGCCCAAACTGAGCACCACAAGAACAGAAAGCTTATACAGCAAAGCCAGGCACGGCGATGTTGAAGCTTCTGGCTGGAAGCGACGAGGGCCAAAGCACAAACTCTGCACCCTACACCGTAGCATCCGCAGCACGCCTTGAATGAAGGAGTTGCTTCAGAAGCCGACTCGAGATGAAGGATCAAACGAAGCAGGCAATCATAAGTTGACGAGTAGGTCCAAAAGGTCACTGACAAGAAGGTCGATTCAGGCCGTGTGCCTCAGACAGAACTTTTGTGGTGATTTTGCGGTTAGGGCGTTGAAACCGCCGCTACAGCAGATCATCACAAGGGTTTGTTGGCGAAGGATGCGTATTGTTGCCGAGGTGGATTCATTCAGGCTTCAGGTCCCCTTATTGCGCAGGTCTCATGCACGGACAACTCTCGAACCCAATGTACACGAGGGGCATGTTCTCGCAGCTTGTACCCTGAATGCACTCAGTCGAAGCTGTTTTCTGAAAACAAATCGCTCCACACATTTTCAATGGAAGGTTGTTGTTGTTGTTGTTTTTGTTTCAAATTTCTCGCATGGGAAGGGCCTGCTCTGGGGATGAGAAGGTCTTTCACACCGATGGCGTAAGGGATTCGCCGGCCCGTGTCTTCTTGCGCCGAAACTGGCCTGAGGACAAGGTCACTGCTCAGTTCCGCGACTTACGCGCTTACGATACGTTTGAGATGCATCTGCTTGGGCGATGGAGTTGTGCGGTGATGAGCTTGAGGTGTAGCGAGGTTCGTGACAACACGGGCAGGTCCAGGCAGCTCTTTTCGTTCGTTCGGTTGCGCAGAGCTTTGCGATAGCCGAACACTTCTCGAGTTTCAAGCGACACCGGGTAAAGACCATCACCCCAACCACCACTTCGGCTGAAGCTGAGCAGCGACATGGGATCAGCACTCAGGGCCAATCGGTTGACGGACACCTCAAACCAAACCCAAAACCCCAATCCCAAAAATCCCCCAGAAAGTCTTCACCAGCAAAGCCGAAGCCTCAAACAGCCTAACGCCCAAGATCAGTTCCGAGGCTTCGTCTCGTTGTCGGATGATGGGATCGTGGGCGTGAGCGAAGCAAAGAATCTTGCTGGTGCTTACGTGAGGGAACGGATCCGTAGAATAGTCTCGATATAATAGTCCCTCAGAGTAATAGCACAGTGCTATGATCCCTTGTAGTTGGTCTTACCATGCTGCATAGTCTATTCCTTCCTCCGATCCTCCTAAAGCACCAACAAGGAACGCAACAGAGCTGCCGGCGGCCCTTGAGCGCTTCCGCGTGGTGCAGGTGGCCGGGGGGGGGGGGGG